AAAGTCCGTGACGCCAGTGAAACGCACATTGACGTCCAGCCCCGTAGACAGCTTCGGGAGGACCGCCATGGCGTCGCTCATGTTCTGCAAACACACACGCCCACGTTATGTCTCCTCCCCAAAACGGCGTGCTAATTGAAAGCGTGTATGGGAACCAGCATGTCCGTGTGCTTCCTTGGTACCTGCTGGAAGTTGAGCTCCATGCCGTCGGCCTTCTGTCTAGGAGTGACGGACAGCACACACTCTCCTGAACAACGCACACACAGGAACATCGTCAGTAGGACAGCCCGCCACGACCTGACCAGCTCAAACACTCACAGGTGAGAATCCTGGTTTAACCCGACGTGTTGCAGACCGTGTACCATGTGACCTCCGCGGACAGTATCATTCTCGACAGCTGTGCCAGGAGCGAACTCATCGTCTACTTAACGTGGACCCTCCATGTTTACGAGCGAGCGCCCAGCCTCCTGCTACCCGGCACGTTTAATTTCATCATCGATACGTTTGATACATTACCCACAGTCGCTCTTACCCAGGTGAGCCATCAGGTCCTCTGTGGTGACCACCTCAGTCTGAGCAGGAAGCTTGGCCTGCGGCGCGACACACACACACACACACACACACACACACACACACACACACACACACACACACACACACACACACACACACACACACACACACACACACCACACACACACACACACACACACACACACACACACACACACATCAGTTCATTTATAAACTTTATCAAGCGTGAGCGCCGGTGTCTCCTCTTCTGTCCCTCACTAAAAAAGATCAAAGCTGTTTACGACGACACAGACGTCTGCACAGTTACATCATTTTAGAGTGCTCTGATTGGTTCTCAGAGGAACATCTGAAACCACGGTCTACATAACGGTTCATTCAAAGTGTCTCATTAGCTGCTCAACCACCTGAGGCCAGCGGCCGCCACAGGCGAAGCACAGGTGAACCCACAGCACCGGATTCACGTACACCACATGGTTCTAACAGTTAACTTCCTGTTGCCACTAGGGGTCGCTGTGAGTGTTATTGACTATTCTAGATGCGTCCAGGTGTAGATCCCACCAAGCACGGGAAGTCTGGGAGAACACTTATAAGAGCTTCATGCACTGCAGTGCCGCAGACACACCCTTCAACGAAAAGTCAAAGGCTTTGTGATTTAATGCTGCCACCGCCGTCTTCGGGGCGACCTGTCACAACAGCCCAGTCCAACATCTTCGAGGAGCTCATCCTGGTACTGTGACAGCGCGCATGGGAACTATCCATTATCGGTAGAATCTATACTTACTGATCAGATTCGTTATCGATTCTCCGCTTTGAGGGTGACCGTCATCACTAAGCAGCACATCTAAGACCTTCATGCAGACTAATTTCATGCTGTGGGCCACATGTTTGTTTGTTGAGACTCGATAACGAATCTGATCAATAAGTATAGATTCTATTGATAATGGAATCAGAATTGCTAAATTCTTATTACGTCCCACGCCTGCTGTCACAGTACCAGGACGAGCTCCTCGCAGATGTTGCACCAGGATGATGTGACAGCTTGTTACCTGTTGAAGTTCAGGCGCTAGCTGCTAGGCTCTGGTCTGCATACACTGAGCTTTAGCATCACTCTTGTTCTTGGCTGGCTTAGCGTTAGCATATTGTCTGACTAGCTTAACGTTAGCATGCTCTCTGTGCAGATGTGGGCACAGAGCTGAACTTGTGCTTGAACTTTAGCATCGCGTTCGCGTCCTTTTGTGCAGTAAAAACAATTTCAAGGACCTGAACTACTAGGAAAGGGTTCTCCCATGCCTTCTAACGAGGCCAGCTTCCCTGGGAACCAAAGCCACCTTTCAGCTGCTAGAAATCTGACTTGAACCTTTCCCGGTCTTCGGCGCAAGTCTGAGCATGACAACAACGAGCTCAGACCGACTGGAACCTGGGAGCTCTGAGCCCTGCCCTTCCAAACAGCTGGAACACGTAACATGCACCTCCAGGTTCTTATGTTACCATGACGACGCAGACAGGAAACACCTGCCCTGACTTCCTGAAGGTTCTCAGGCAGATGTTTGCGTACCTGCGTAGTGCAACTTGTTGTCTTTAGATTTGTGTGCTGCAGCTGGGTGGAGATGAACATCCACCTGCCGCTCCGCCCTTTAAATGATGGTGATTCTCACCTTCCAGCGCAGGAACAGCGTGTTCATGATGGCCAGCAGGGGGCAGGGTCCGTTCTCACTCTGGGTGATGATGGGTGTCTTCTTCTCCTTCCAGGTGATCCACTTCACCAGGTAATACGCTGGCATGGAGGGCCCAGGCTCCGGTGCCGCAGTAGGAGGAGCAGCAGCACCCCCTGTGGGGAGGGGGAGAAATGCAGTCACACTCAGCTAAACAAAGTTACATTTATTTGGAGTACTAAGGTGTCATCGCAAAATAAACCCAGAGAAGAAGTGCAGTCAGGCACCAGGCTGAGCACAGTTTCAGTAACATGGACGCCTCACCGGCAGCTTCCAGCGCCGCCTCGTCCTGCAGACTCGGGACTTCGGTGGATGGCGAGCAGCCCTCCGCACCCAGCGCCGAGTACGACGACGACAGGCCGTCATCCACGTCCAGGGAGTTTCCTGTTGTCACGACCCCATCCGATAGCTCCAAGCTGGGGATGGAGAATGATGCCGAGTCCGTGGACTCCAGCTGGTCGTCTGAGCCACCCGCTGTCACCACCGAGGAGCTTTCCTCCACGTCCAGACCTGCGGACAATAGAAGCACCATGAGGGATCCTCTGGGCATCTTAGGCCCCGCCCTTCACCCATGTCTCCTCCTCTACCTGGTCCTGCCCCAGCCTCCGTGGGTTCCTCTGTGGTGGTGGCGATTGTTAGAGTCATGTTTTCAGATGATGGACTTGGCGATGATTCTGGCGGCGTGGGTGTGGCCTCTTCCTCCTCCTCCATCGGGACCTTGGCGAGCGCAGGGCTGTCAGCGGCGCCGCCACTTGTGTTGGGGATGTCAGTTCTGAGGTGCGCTGGTGTCACGCTTAAGGTGCATTCTTTGGAGAAAGTCTGTGAGCTGACAGTGGGCTCCTCTGAATCGCATTTCATCTCCAGGTCAGCGATGGCGGAAGGCTGCTCCCTGGACTCCTCCATGATCAGCTGACGGCTTCACAGGCACGACTCCGTATGACAACACGTGGAGAGAGATGACTTAGACGGACGTGGTCACGAGAGAAACTAGACCTCAGCATCGGGTGGCTTTAAGACAGCAGGAGGCGCTCCAACATGGCCGCCAGGAGATCGTCACGAGAGAACGATCACCTGCCCGCCGCCTGCCAAGGGTGTTGGAAAACAGACACACCGGTCTACCTGAGAGCAACCATGGCTGCAGAAAATCTGAGCAGAGAAGAGACGCAGCACGGCCCTCTGACATCAGTCACACCTGAGGAAACACAGAAGAAGAAGTCAGCAAACACACGTGTGTGTGTGTGTGTGTGTGTGTGTGTCTGAGTTGTGGAGTTAGCTCAGAGCTGTGTGCAGCCATGAGGCTGATTTAAAGATGGATTCCGAGTGACGGTGCAGCGTCACCTCCATCCACTAATTTCTCAGATCTGTGACATCACAGAAACATTGTGTGTGCCTCACAGGTGTAAACTCTGATAAACATCTGCACACTCTCCACTTGACGGTCAACACTGCACATCCACCCTCAGCTGTTTGAACGGAAGCAGCTCCCCCCAAGCTGTGGGGTACAGCTGTGACCGTGAGAGAAGCAGGGGTGTGGCTGAGAACGCAGACCGACACCTGGACCGCTGCTGTACACCTGAGCTCCGAGCCTTACAGGTGACCTGTACTGGGGGGGCGGCTGCTTCACTCCCAAGATCGACGTGAAGGAAAGTTGTTTCCCATGACGCTCCTCAATTAGGTGAGAAGGGTTCAGCGGTGACTTACGCTCGCACACACACGGGTGGCAGCCTCAGCTGACCCCAGTCTTGCGGAGCGGCCGGTTAACCCTGCTCTTCCGGTTAACCCCGACATCCGGGCCCGTGCCCTCCTCCCGAAAACCGATCAGCTTACCGGGTCCGGCGCGGATTCGCGGAGAACGCTGACGCTGGCAGATGAACGCGCGTGCTACCTGTTTACATTCCTCTCCGCCAGGTTCATAGGTCCCGCCCACCGTCCGTCCACATCCGCTAAGCTTCAGCAGCCTACGCTGCCTGTTAGCCAACTGGCTAGCTGTGAACTTTTTCTGTCGTAAAATTGTCATTAATGTTCACGCGCAGCAGCTCGTGAGGGCCTGGGAAGAAACGCAGAGAAACCAAACAAGCGGAACTCCGAGCGGAGCGGGAAGCCGCTTCAACACGAACCGTACAGATGTTACACACCGCGTTAGCTTAGCATGAGCTAGCTGGCACTGACAGCCAAACGCGATAAGACTTTTTTAACTTTATGTCCTTTTTGGTCTCTGAGCGGGGCAGCATTCACAGCCACAGCGGCGCACTCACCTCTCAGACCGCGGGCACGCGCTGTCGGGTTCGGCCAATCAGAAACATGAAGAAAATAAAACGTTACAAACAAAATGTGACGTTTTCACAGCTTCAACTCGCGTCGTACCCTCCTGACAGAGCAACTTCTACTCGGTATACGTCACGTCCGGTCTCACCTTCGCTCCCTCACCTTATTCCACAGAGTGCGTTACATCTGTGGACCACGGTAACATGGGCGGGCGGTGCGCTCACCTTTGACTGTTTTCGTACAAACCCCGCCTCCATTACCCAGGCTTCACGAATCGAGCCGAGGTGGACCGAAAACTGTGCAGGGAGAGTCTATCCAGTTGACTCCGCCTCCAATCCAACCAACCAGACGTGAAAGTGTTCTGTTTTGTTTTATTAGAATTTGTTTATTATTTCAAGTACATATAGAAAAATGGCAACTAGAGCTGCATAAATTCAATGGATACAACGAATTGTCAGAAGGAGTGATTACAGTAACAATATAACCACATAAATCAGAATCAGAATACCTGGGGGAAATAATTTTTTGTTACAAAACATACATAAAACAGAGATATTCTTAGTTAGCGTATTGTCTGTCTTGTCTTAATGTTGGTTTAAAATGGAGCACTGTAACAAAAAATAATTTCCCCCAGGGATCAATAAAGTATTCTGATTCTGATTCTGATTCTGATAATGAATGTTGACAGTGACATAGATGTGTACACATGTCTAAGTTGCAAAGTTGAGTGAAATGCTGCCTTTTAGATAAACAGAAACAAACAACAAAGGGTAAATATATTATAAAATAAGATAAGATGACCTTTATTAGTCCCACAGGTGGGAAATTTGTTTTGTTACAGCAAAAGTGCAAAGTTATGTAGCAGAAATTAGAAAACACTGGAATGCAATAAAATACAATAGAATAAAATAAAATAATATATACAATAGAATAAAATAGAATAGAATAATATATACAATAGAATAAAATAGAAATACAAATACTATATACAACTGAGTAGGAAAATACAAAAATACAACTTCGTCAGAAGAAGAATTGCATAAGAATTGCACATATAGCAGTCTTATTGCACATGTGTGGGTTAGTGTGTTTGATCAGCTGCAAAAGTCTTTATTGTGGAGTCTGACAGCAGTGGGGAGGAAAGACCTGCGAAATCTCTCCGTCCCACACCGTGGGTGCCGCAGTCTCCCACTGAAGGAGCTGCTCAGTGCTGTCACAGTCTGCTGCATGGGGTGGGAGATGTTGTCCAACAGGGATGACAGCTTAGCCACCATTCTCCTGTCACTCACCACCTCCACTGGGTCCAGAGGCCACACCATAGAACATGGCTATTCAACTACGAAGTTAGTTGGGCCAGATTTTCAAACCAAGGAATTTATCTGGGCCAGATATTTTTTTTGAAGCCAGTAAGCAACAGATCATGATCAATTTCAAACCCACACAACTGTACTGAAAAACAAGTATTTTTTTTTATTCCTTTTCCCCTGTAAATCTGATGACCTCACAAATGCACACCAAAAGGTCCATTTAAAAAAGGGGGGCCATAACTAAACAATTTTTTGCACATTTGAAATAATAATAATAATAACAAAAAAACATTTTGATAATTCCCTTTCAAATTAAAATAAATATTTCGCTGACCACTCATTTTTCCTGCCATGGATGGAGCCCCATCCGTCACAAGTATACAGACACGCTTCATATCCAGACCATTTTCCTCAAAAAGAGCTGAAATCTTCTCAAACATTATTTCGCCAGCTGTGTGTCCCTCTAACGGTAGTAAACCGAGCAATTTCCCATCCAAAAAACGGACATATACGCACAACTGTGCATTATCAGTTCTGTCTGTGATCTCCTGCTATAGACATTACATCAGTTTTCTTCAGGTCATCTAACAGCATTTCAAACTCGTTTGACGCCAGAACTTCAACTCTACGAATATTTGAACTGTCCTACAGGGGTACGTTTTTAATAGCAGATGTCACACTTACTTTAATTTATTCATCACTTTTCACCGCATCCACCACGGCCAGCATGCAGTATTTCACCGTTTCAGAATCTGTGAAAGGCCTTTTCTTCTTCGCCAAGAAGCAGAAAGGGAAGATGCTGCAGCTCTCTCTTGGGCTGTACAGGACCCTCACCATGGTAGTACAACTCCTGTTGTACTACCATGTACATTGGTAGTACATCTTACCATAATGTAATAATAATGGTAATAATTACAACATGGTAATAATCTTACCATGTTGTAAGATTATTAAACTCGGTAAAATGAATAAGTATTTGTCAGTCCAGGCAGGGTTAAACCAACAGTTTTCATTGTCAGTTTCATTTTGCGCTTTAGGAGTGAGAAAGACATGCTGTTGTCGCATCATATATTACGATGATTGTTTAATATGTTTACATCACGGTGCATTGTGGGTTAAATATTGCTAGGCTACTAGAAGTGTTGCATTCACAGTCTACACTACGCTGTAGGAATTTTTAATTTTTAAAAAAATTAATGAATGAATTTATTTTTTTGCGTTTTCTCTATGTTTCTGCCAGGACCACAGGCAGGGCCACTCGCAGGTTGCTTCTGGGCCGCATTTGGCCCGCGGGCCGCCATTTGAATAGGCTTGCCATAGAAGGTGGCTGAGGCCACCACAGAGTCATAGAAGGTCTTCAGGAGTGGGCCCTCCACTCCAAACGACCTGAGTCTCTGCAGCAGGTACAGCCTGCTCTGCCCTTTCCTGTAGAGGGCGTCTGAGTTATGAGTCCAGTCCAGTTTGTTGTTCAGATGAACACCAATGTTTCAATTATCCATAATTCAGGGGGTTGTGAAGCTCATTTTGTAACCGGAAGGTCGCCAGTTCGACCTCCGCGTACACTGACGGCCTCTGACTGTAAAGTCATGTTAATGTCATGTTAAGCATTTTGTTAACAAGGCGACAGTGTTGGGGAGTAACGGAGTACATGTACCGCCGTTACGTATTTAAAATACAAAATATGAGTAACTTTTCTGTTACAGTTACCATTTAAAAAGGTGGTATTCAGAATACAGTTACTTTGTTGAAATAAATGGATTACACGGCGGTCTTTCCTGTTTCATATGTTCGGCTATGCCCTCTCTATGTTTGGTAATTCCACGCCGTTGGAAACCCAAACAAAACACGCATTAAGAGGCTCAAATGCCCGTGTTTCAATCTCGCGTCTCATAATGACGTGAAGAAATATTTTTTTAAATGATTTAATATGAAGGCAACAGGAAGTGTTACAGGCATCGCCCTAAAGCCTGATGGGCAGTGTAGTCTGTGCTGCAGGGAGGATGGACCCGTGATGTGTCTGTGAGTGAGGGAGAAAAAGGAAAAGTAGGAGCTGTCACGGAGCAGAAACGGGAGCTGGAAGCATGTAAATATAATAATAACCACTGCAGCCAAGAAGAGAGCCTGACGAGCCCAGCTGTAAGTAAGCTGTTAAGACTCGACTGTACACCGTGTTCCTGTTTCCTCTGAAACAATAAGTCCTGTTGCAGCAGCCTTTCAACGCCTCTCTCTGTCTCTGCTAGCAAAGTTGACCCAGACAACAAAGTAAAGCTAGTTTTCAGCTACGAGCCGACACGAACCCGACGTATTAGCCAGAGGTCCCTTTACCACGGTTTGGAGCCGCTCACCTGTTTTATATACGCGCCGAATAGTTTTCTATACGAGATCGCTGCAAAAAGTGCAGCCTTACCTAATGTCCACCTACTGTTACTCATTTATATTATGATTTAAACATCTAGCTGGTGTTGGTGTGGAGAGTAGCCTTCAGTAATAGTAATAAATCACATTCATGTAGCTGTAAAAAGCATGATAATATATTAAGTAATCCAAAGTAATCAGGATACGTTACTCTCATTGAGTAACGTAACGGAATACGTTGCAAAATATATTTTGGGGCATGTAATCTGTAATCTGTAGTGGAATACATTTTAAAAGTAACCTTCCCAACACTGCAAGGCGATGGGTTGATATCCTCCTTAGGTCCCTCCCTTATGAAGACGGTCCTTGAGTCATTTCCTCATTATCCAGTTACACTTAATGACTTAGTTGGTATAATGTTAAAATGAAACCCTCGCTAGAGTTCGTACCTTCCTCTGTCCTGTGTTTAACCATGCTAAGGCAATTCCCTTACTTAACACTGTAACCCCTAACACGCTGCTGGCCAAAGGTTTTTACAACACTTTTTAAAATTACTATAACTTTTGAACAGTTTGTGAAAGCAGCGATTCTGCGCTGTTTAGCGATATTAGAGTCATTGCTGTAATCCCAAGCACGTGTCACTCAGCCCTGGAGAGGCTGCTTCACCAAAAATAGCCTCTGTGCCAAGACTGAGGCCATGATTACAGCTCCTCAGTGATCGCTTCTGTTTGCTCATCTGCAGAAACCAGTGTTTGTAATCGCAGTCTGCAGACCTTTGGTTTTAAACCATGTTACATTAAAAAGCCCAGAATAAAAGATGCAGACACACTTTTTATGTTTTTGATCTCTTTACTTTCTCAGGTGAAGTCTTGGTTTCTGATGGTAGGTGGTTTCTCTAATTGGGAATCTTGATACCTTCACCTTCAGCACAGAAACCTGCAGAGAGAAACAGACAGTCGCATCACCTGATTCACCTCAGACTGATTTCTCAGATTCTAGTGCAAACAGTTAAAGTGAAGCACTTTTCTCTGGGTTGTAGATGAAGTCCGGGTCTCCGGAGAAGCCCAAGCATGTTGCCTGCTGCTTGAAGTGTTCCAGCTCCGGCTCCTTCAGGGTTGACTCTTTGCCTGCAAACAAAAACACTCAAACGGATGAACATTTTGGATTTTAAATGAGAATTTTAACTTCTGTGTCTAATTTTCGTCCTACCCAGAAG